AGAATACAGTTTGAGGAACATGCCACACACAGTAGCTTTAGATAAAAAGGCATCACCTGATCAGACACTCACTAGGTTGGACGCCCCATGTAGATTCCAGGAGTGGGAGTATGGGCACGTTTTGTAATTGAGAAATCAACACGGATCCGGCGACCATCAAGTTCCATCCCATTCGCACGCTCTTTGGCCTAAACCCCCACGACAAAAAAAAATAAAATGAGAAGACATTCTTGATCAACTCAGATTGTTTGTATGTATAAACTATTCTGTGTAATTGGTAGAATAGTATGAACGGTCTTATCCTCCTTACCTCCTTAGAGTCTTCACAGTTCTCAAAGTAGACAAAAGCAAAGCCCCTTGAGCGCCTTGACTGCTGGTCATACACGATGTTGACCTCAGCTAAAGGGCCGTATTTAGAGAAAACCTCCCTCAGATCCCTCTCGGTTGTGTACAGACTCAGTCCAAACACACCAATACAGTTGTTGGGGTCTGGGTTGGCCTAGGAGAGGGAAGAGAAGAGGAGTTAAAACCAATGATGTTTACAACAAATCCTGCAAATAAAGTTTTTAAATCAGTAAAATGTGAAATCAGATGTATAAAATAAATGCACAGACATTGTATTTATCAGGTTTTATTATGTTGATGTACGAGCTACACTTTTTATATGGTGAGGTTGTTTTGCAATAATTCTGCAATATTAAAAAATAATAATAATAATAGTTGAGGTAATTTGAGGTCTTCACAATTATTGACAATATTATTTAAATAAAACATGTCCAATGATTTGTTTTTGTGCGTTGCTAAAAACTCAACATTTGTTGTATATGTGTATTTTAACTCAAGTCCATGAAGGTTCTTTAGATCAAGATATTTAAAAAAAAAAAAAAAAAAGAAATCCTTTTATTCAGTGACTTTAAAAGCCCCATGGTAACCCAAAACAAAACATGTAAAAGAAGGATAAAATGTATACCCTGTTGCCGATGTGTCTGCGACGATTTGACATGGGAGAATGGCTGTGGCTCCTACGCCGCCTGTACTCCCAGCTACGAGATCGGCTCCTGGAACGGCGTCTGTGGGAACGGGAACGAGAGCGGGAGTAGTGCCTGCGGGAGCTTCGATGGGACCGGGACCTGGGAAGAGATTAAAAAAAAAAACATTAGTCTGAGTATCTAACTTATGTTACATGCACTCAAGAAAAGAGTCACAAACAAACTTTAATGCAGTGCTACACCTGGGAGAACACCGTGATACACTTTCTCTCATATGCACACGAATAACAAAAACCATCTTACCTGGACTTGGATCTGGACCGAGAACGAGATCTGGACCTGGACCGTCGAGAGCCTTTGGAGCGCGCCGGAGAGCGGCTGGTGGATTTGGCAGAGCCCTGAGGGGACGCACTCCTCGAGCCATGCCGCGAATCCTGACAAACAAGGCACCGATATGAGCGACACTCTAAAAGCTCAACAGTGTGCCAAAACAACAACAAAAAAAACAAAACTAAAAGGGCCAGGAGGTGAAAGCGCTTTCCCGCTACATGCTCCTTTCAGAAGGAGTTCACCACATTTTTTTTTTTTTGGCCATTAACAGATTAGACACTAAATGGTAAGAAATCTGATTAAATGAATATGGAAACATTGGAACAAAAATATTTAATTAAATATCAATTTAGCTGAAATCAAATCATTGCACAAAAAAAACAACCCTCAAATGAATGGAGGGATTGACCAGTGATGTTCCAAAAAAAGAGAGAAAATAATTGTGCATGCTTAAGAGAAAGAAACAGGATGAAATAGAGAAACATAGCAGACTGTTAGGAAATTACTCATACCCTGGTAAACTTCTGATCTTAACTTCATTACTTCTTTTACTTCATTACTTCAATACAACCCTTCATTTCTTCTTTCTTCTTTTGACATTATGACTTCTTTTTTCCTCCTCTTCCCCCATTTATCATCTGCCAATACAACACTAGTAGTGGGGATTCTTCTTTTCAGCATCCCACACATTTAGCATGCATCAACACCATCAGCTTCAAACATTAACAACTTCACATCTGAAACGTCTTCAGCCTTTTTCTTTCTTCCAACCTCAACCTTAACAAAGAACAAACAAGGGTGATAAGGCATGTTGGTTTCTGTGAAAGAAAAAACCAAAAAAGATATACAAAGAAAAAACAGCAAAAAAAAGAAAACCAGGAAAAAAAATCAACATTGATCAGCTTTAATACACGTTTGTATGTTAGCTTCACAAAGTTATGATTGGTCATATGTTAAAATACGCCTTTTAAAAGAGTAAGTAATGGTATAATGTCTAAGTTTCTATCATAACAATGCTTAATATATGTTATTGTAACACATTAGCAGTGGAGTAAAAGCAGCATGGCGACGCTGGGGCCATTAACTCCCGCCTGAAAAGCTTCTAAAGGCCGGAAAATATATGGTATTAAACTGCCATTATAGTTTACAATTTAATAATGAATCACCAGAAAATAAATGTTTAGTCACCAGCGTTGCTATCTGCATTATAAATAGTATTCTTATTTAAGTTTTAAGGCGACTTCTACACATGTGCACATACGTGACTGCAGCCTAGCTAGCTAGCTAATCTCATGTAGCCTAACACGTTTCCAACCTTTTAACTTCCTGATCTTTAACAATCACCACTCACCCTCTCCTCCTTGAAATCTTTCTCGTTGTCGCTCATATTACTGTAACGAGACGGCAGATTTGTAATTTAAAAAAGAGAGAGAGACAACAACACAAAGCGTTTGGCCCTGGCTCTAATGGCGGATTGAATGCAACGCGAACCGGTTTGATCTGCAAGAGCTAACGCAGGCTAACGCGGGCTAACGGGATTAACGTTCTTCTTTTGCCCCCGCCGACGCCGTCCGTTGTCGTCTTCTCGCGAGACTTCCGCAGTAACGGCATTATGTCAAAACATTATGTCAAAAACATCATATTTACAGTCTATGGTGCAAAACTAATAATAACAGTATATGGTGCAAACTGATAACTAAAAGCAGGAAATGTATTTTTCCGTTTACAGTAGTGTATTAAAAACATATTGAATGATTCCATCAAAAAGTACATGTTTCAATGTTTCCCCCGTACCTATCACAGTCTTTAGTACCTATCACAGTCTTTAGTACCTATCACAGTCTTTGGTACCTATCACAGTCTTTGGTACCTATCACAGTCTTTGGTACCTATCACAGTCTTTGGTACCTATCACAGTCTTTAGTACCTATCACAGTCTTTAGTACCTATCACAGTCTTTAGTACCTATCACAGTCTTTGGTACCTATCACAGTCTTTGGTACCTATCACAGTCTTTAGTACCTATCACAGTCTTTGGTACCTATCACAGTCTTTAGTACCTATCACAGTCTTTAGTACCTATCACAGTCTTTGGTACCTATCACAGTCTTTGGTACCTATCACAGTCTTTAGTACCTATCACAGTCTTTGGTACCTATCAGTCTTTGGTACCTATCACAGTCTTTAGTACCTATCACAGTCTTTGGTACCTATCACAGTCTTTGGTACCTATCACAGTCTTTGGTACCTATCACAGTCTTTAGTACCTATCACAGTCTTTGTACCTATCAGTCTTTAGTACCTATCACAGTCTTTGGTACCTATCACAGTCTTTGGTACCTATCACAGTCTTTGGTACCTATCACAGTCTTTAGTACCTATCACAGTCTTTGGTACCTATCACAGTCTTTAGTACCTATCACAGTCTTTAGTACCTATCACAGTCTTTGGTACCTATCAGTCTTTAGTACCTATCACAGTCTTTAGTACCTATCACAGTCTTTGGTACCTATCACAGTCTTTAGTACCTATCACAGTCTTTGGTACCTATCACAGTCTTTGGTACCTATCACAGTCTTTAGTACCTATCACAGTCTTTGGTACCTATCACAGTCTTTAGTACCTATCACAGTCTTTGGTACCTATCACAGTCTTTGGTACCTATCACAGTCTTTAGTACCTATCACAGTCTTTAGTACCTATCACAGTCTTTGGTACCTATCACAGTCTTTGGTACCTATCACAGTCTTTAGTACCTATCACAGTCTTTGGTACCTATCAGTCTTTGGTACCTATCACAGTCTTTAGTACCTATCACAGTCTTTGGTACCTATCACAGTCTTTGGTACCTATCACAGTCTTTGGTACCTATCACAGTCTTTAGTACCTATCACAGTCTTTGGTACCTATCAGTCTTTAGTACCTATCACAGTCTTTGGTACCTATCACAGTCTTTAGTACCTATCACAGTCTTTGGTACCTATCACAGTCTTTGGTACCTATCACAGTCTTTGGTACCTACTGCATACTGCTCTCTTGTAATGCAAGATAAAATGAAATAGTTACAGGTGACATAGAATGATTCATTTAGAATATTTCGCAAATGACCAAGATGGAGGAGTGCGAGTCAATTGTTTGTTACCAACGTTGTCTCCACAGTTTATGCTTCATTGAGAAATTGTAAATACATTTAACTGTCGATGTATTGATTAAAAATGAAACCATGTCTCTTACTCGGCCAACACTATGGGTCACAAGGTGTTTCCCTTGTTTCTGGAAACACTGGTGCAAATGTTTCTTTGTATTTTAGTTACTGAAAAAGTGTGAACTATAGTCACTTTGTTGATGTCCTGTATTTATATTTCTTGTGCTTTTTTTATGATGCTATGGACCCATGGGTCTGAAATAAAAAGTATAGTACTGCAGTCTAACAGTCCTTCAGGGATTTGCGACAGCGTAAATCATCAAATTTAAGATTTGTGTTTGTATGTCTTTGCTTTCACTTTTACAACACAGTACACACTGGGTGCAATATAAGGAAGCCCTATGCATCATGTTTTAATTATTCCAATAAGACGTATTCTCTGTGTTTTCTTTGTTAAACACTTTGGTTTGAATAAGATTTACCTTAAGTAGTATGATATCTAGCAAGAACTGCATGAGTCATTAAATACACAAAGCTCGAGCTGAAAAAAAAAGAAATATTTTATTACATTGGAGGGACAAAAAAAATAAATCACATTTTCAAAGCATGAACTCAAACATGCATATTTGTACAGTAGTTTGCTATGCAGTATACTATACTATAAGTTAGTGTAATGCAATATGCTCATCAGAAAGAAAAAGATTCACAGACCTAACAGCGCCTTATGTTACATATGGAGATACATTTATTAATGTTCCGCTCATGGAGGACAAACCACTAATTCATACACTTCAATACCATTTTCTCATCCAGTCAAGTCATAAATAATATCAAAACAGGCAAATCACAAACACTCAACCATGCATTTTTGTTCTCTAAAGGGACTGAAAGAGAGGTATTTTAATTGTCGTTGTTTGAGATGAGCCAAATTAAAAAGGACAAACATCCCTGTGACTATCTTATTCTTTGAATTCTGAATCAAAGCCTCTCAGACTTTGAGTTGTAAATAATTCCCCCAAAATACAACAGCTTGCTCTAATTCAGGCTACTTGTCAGACAGCTGAAGGCACTTAAGGCGGAACTTCAAACAGAGAAAATAACAATCAAAAGGTCAATAAAAAAGCCTCTCAGTCAGTAGTGCCAATGCTTTAAGACATAAAGTTCTTACATCTTGATAATGTCTCTAATTACAACTCAGAGATTACAAAATGTGAATGCGTTCCTGACAGGAAACTCTTAAGACTAGTGCTTGATTTTTCCACACCAGAGCAGCTCGACTGGATCAGATTTGAGTCCAGTTCTTTGGCCCATTCATTTCTGTGTCTTCACCATGACAAATGTATACATGTGTCACTCCCACTGTGAAAGTCTTTGCTGTGAACATCTACAGCAGCTTCTGATTGATGATTTCCCAAATCATTAACTTCCTGAAGAGAGGCATGTGGCACTGTCAAAAAAAGAGTTTAACGTTACAATCAATGTTAAAGTGGTAAGAAACGCATTAAAAAGTTTTACTTCATGACGGTGAATAAAAGGAAATACCTGTTTAAAGTTGAAAGGTCTTCCTCTGGAGATATAGTCAGCATATTTACAGGCAAAAACACCACAGTCGCTGCCATTTCTCTGCTGAGGAATCTCCTTCGGGGGGTAAGAAAAGCAGAAAAAAACATTACACAACAGAAGAGTAAAGAAATGACCAGCTTAGCCATCACTTATCTCAGCTTAACTTACAGTGGCCCTCAAGCTGTCAACAGTCCATTTGGCGCTGTCCAGCTCTCTGCCTTTCTTTGCTCTGTGTTCCTCTTTAAGATAGAGTCTGGAACATGAGCACAACAACGCTGTTTAATATGCAGGAAGTTAGTGCAATATATGGAAAAGGCTTTTAAAATGTTAAGTTAACCAGGCTGATGAAGACTCACAGTAAAAGACTACAGATGTCATCGTGTCTCTGGCCCATCGAGTCATAAGACTTCACTGTCTTTGACTTCAAATCAATCACCTTGAATGAGAGAGAGAGAGAGAGAAAGGAAACATGTTCAAACATGCAGTATAATTTAACCTAATTGGAGCTTATCATGTTTAGTGGATGTAATCATGATTATATGACGTGTGAATTTTAGAACCATAAAATGACAAAGAAAGTTATTTCTTTTAAAAACACAAATTTTGGGCAAAAACTGCTCAAGGCATTGTTATCAAAAAGCCCTGCATGTCAAAAATATCCAATTTAAGGGTACATAAACGAGTGCATATTCATTGTGGCTGTGACTCACAGCTAAAGCCCAGTGGACGCCCAGGTGCAGAGGGACCAAGATGAGGTCATAGAGGAAGAGGTCGACCGCTTTGGTCCAGCGCTTCACTGCGGCGTGTCCACCAGCCTGCCCGCCTCCTCCACCTCGCAGCTTTGGGAAGAAGAAGGTGCTGAAGGTGTAGACTTTTAATCCGGCAGCTTCTTCAGCGCGCCGTTCCATGACCAGGGAGAAGTAGAAATTGATCACCTTTTATTCAGAGGAAACAGAAGAACAATAAAAACAGGATTTAAAGTAAGTTGTTGTCTCTGTTGTTTTTGGCTTTCATTATGGAAATGGAAGGAATTCAACCTTAAATAATTAGAAAAATATATAATAAACTTAATATTTAATCATAATTATAATTAAGATGAAGTACTGCCTGTTATTACACTATAAACAGCAACTAAATCATTAGCATACAAGCCCAATAGTAAGAAGGATGTTCACGTGAGCATGCCGAGCATCTCAGTGGTATAAAACACATTTTGTGTTGCTAATATTAGAATACAGGCCATGCTACAATCTCTGTTACCATGGTGACTGGATGCAATAGCTGCTACTACCACAAAACAAAACTTCTCTGGTATTTCAAAAACCCACACACCGTTCACTGTTTCAAGCTTCAACACCACAGACAGATGTTAAGAAACACCTGCACTAGTGCAGTACTAGAAGAAGAGAAACTTGACATAATTTGAATAAATGTTTTGGATAAATCTGTATCTTTGTTGACCACATGTCTGTAGTAAATTGTATTTCATTGACATTAATGACAAAAAAGAAATTAAATACGGTCTCTGCGCGTCTAAATTTGCTTCTAAAGAAATGCTAAAAACTGTCTTCACACCCATACCTCATCGTTCAGCCAGCCGCCTTCCTGCAGCGTGGCCAAGTCTCTCTGTGTTATGCGTAGTTTGAAAGCCGCACTTAAAACAAGGTTTGGATCACTCTGAGCAAGAGCACGGCTCACCTCGGCTGCCATTTCCTACACAGAAAGACGATACACACACAAAATAAAATGAACTGCATCTACGCTTTCTTCAGTACAATGAGTACACCGATCTCCCGACCATCTCACCTTTGTCAGGCGAGGTATGTCCTCATCAGTGTGCCTTGCATGTGATATGTGTGATGTGTGCGTCTCGGGAACGCTGGCTGCAGGAGTTTCTCTGTCCACTAGATTGAGGCGGGTAGCGACTTCTGTAGAAAGGTCCAGCTCTGATGATGGTTTCTGCTGCAACAGGGGTCAATGTTATAGATATGATATGTATGAGTTTCAGATCAGAATTATAACTTTATGAGAACCTTGTAATGATAAACAAGAGAAATTAATACCTTTGTATATCTTACAGGCTGTGCGTCCTCAAAGGCTCGACTGAAGGTTTTACTAAAGGTCAAACTACTGCGCCTGGAGATGAAGAAACAAAGGGGTTGTATTATAAACAAAAATGATCGACATAAACAAAACAAATACACACATATGTATACAGACATACTACACTTACCTGTCTTTTATTGCAGGTGCATTCCTCCATGAAAACACACTTGGGGTAGCTGTGCAAAAAGAAGATGATACATTACAATTCATTTATTTGAAAATAACCACCTGACCAAGTAAGTAACAAACTGCAAGTCTGAAAAAAGAGCATCACTGAAAACAACCCTTTCAGATACTCAGAAGTGTCTTTATTATGTTTACTGCCATCTTACTTGTGTATCCCGTGTTCCTGGGCCCTGGATTAATAACTTTTCCTGGAGCACTAGTAATGGGATCACTCTGTAACAGTGTTGCACTGGGAGAAACACGAGAAAAGAGAAATGTATTAAAGAGGACTGCTCAAACAAAGCGTGATGAAATGAATTATATGGGCATCACTCACTCTTGTGGTTTTGTCTGGTTAAAAGGTAGAGGTTGGCTTTTGCTGTATTTCTCTGTTACCATCTCCAGCAGACGCCTGTAGTGCTCCTTGTCATTCTGCTTTATGGTCTAAAGTGAGAAACAAATAAATGGCCACTGACACAGCAAAATATCACAGATCGTAACAAGTTGTGGATTCTCTTGATAATATAACTTCAAACAAATGTGCTCTGAAGTAGGGCTGTTGAAATTAGTCATTTAATCGATGCATCGCGATGCAGACTAGACGATTAATGCATCAATGCAGGGACAGGAAGTAATCGATGCTGACGAGGGTTAGAAAAAGAGGGATTTGTGACAGAAAACAACGTAAATTGAGCTCCTGTGCTTGCTGACTTCATGAGCAGAGTCAGCTGGTCCTGCACGCTCAGACCACAGTGCTCCGCTGCAGGCTGAAACGGCTTGACTCAGGTCCCGACCGCAGCACGGATTAGCATCTTCATTACAGCTGAAGGTGTGTTTAAACTGATGCCTCCCTGTCACGGTGACTCGTGATAAAGTGAGCGGTTGTAAACACAGTTGACTTCCGACACGGCGTCATCGAGAATCACCGCTAATAAGTGCACCTCCGCTAAAGCTGTGTTCGTTCGATGACAAACACTTTCTATTTCTGACAAGTTCTTTGAAATAAAAGTCCCTGGCCTATCTGAAGTTGAAGTGCTTTTAATGTGAAACATCCATATCAGGAAATGGGGTTTTTACAGCAGTAGCAACTTAACAAAACTCGTATGAAATAAAAAAGGAAAGAAACAAAACTAACCTGAACAAAGCTCACAGCTAAAGGTTACAACGTCCTGAGACCGCTAATAAGTGCACCTCCGCTAAAGCTGTGTTCGTTCGATGACAAACACTTTCTATTTCTGACAAGTTCTTTGAAATAAAAGTCCCTGGCCTATCTGAAGTTGAAGTGCTTTTAATGTGAAACATCCATATCAGGAAATGGGGTGTTTACAGCAGTAGCAACTTAACAAAACTCGTCTGAAATAAAAAAGGAAAGAAACAAAACTAACCCTGAACAAAGCTCACAGCTAAAGGTTACAACGTCCTGAGAAGGGAACACACAGAGACTTAAAAACATCTTTCTCTCTTATAATAAACTAAACACAAACACTTATACTTTTTACCTATACTGTAGGCTACCTATATAATGTATTAATTTTAACTTACAATGTAAAGATATTGATAATGACATTGTTGTCTAAATCACTTTTTAAATTACACAAAAGGAGTTCATATTTATAAGACTGTTTGTCTCTGTTTATGAAAAAGTAGCCATGTGCAGTAATACAGAAAATTGAGGATGAATCGTGATGCATCGTGATATCGAATCGAATCGTTGACTGGATAATCGTAATCGAATCGTAAGACCAGTGAAGATGCACAGCTCTACTCTGAAGGCTGAAAGTGGTCAACGGTCTCAGCTGACTGAAGGTGGTGTTGACTGTTTGCTGTTCAAGAACTCAAAACAAAGAGATGCATTGCAGCAACAAATCCAAAGCATTAAGAATCATGACTACCTCATGTGTAGTTAGTCTACAGTAAAGTAGTGACAGACTTATTTTTAAAGTGCAAAGCACTCAGAGTGTGTTTGAGAGATTGGATAAAACTGGTGAATTGAATATTTTACCTCTTCCACAGTGAGACTGGGCTTGTAGCAGCGTTGGTGTCCAAAGCCATTGCAGACTGGATCAGGGTTAGCAGTTCCCACCCTAACAGCAGGTCTGGAGGGCAGCAGCTGGAGGGAGCCCCTCCTCTCCCGGTCCATTCCCCTGTCGGGGAGCCCTACAGACAGGCCGGCTCCACTGGATTTAGAAAGATTATGTACGTTAGGAAGTGTCGATTTTCAAATAGTGACTCTGGAGGTAATGTGGTACTATCGGTTATTTTTACAGTGAAATGAATTGAGAAGAACATGCCTGTATTTCCTCATTAAAGGAGGTGAGGAGCTCTGGAAGGGATTCTTCCCATCCTTGTCATTTATTCCACCCACTGGTTTATCTGTAGAGAAAAAACTAAAATCAACCAAGTGACTAAGAAAGTACAGAACTGAGAACAACACAGGAAAGGGAGTGATGACGGATCATTGTTTTCCTGCAGTGAAAGCCAGGCTCACTTACTCATTCTCCACTCAGAACTGTTCAGCCATGAGGTGTGGAGTTCATCTATCCCCATCAGAGTGACAGGCTGGATCAACAGAGGAAATGCAAGTAATTAAAGATGGAGAATTAAAATCATACATGTAACTCCAGAGAATAAAAAAGCTATGTAGTAAGGTTTAAGTGGTCATTGTAGTGTAACCCAAACATTGACTAAGCTCACACAGTGAAGTGTCTGTCCAGTCTTCATAGGAACATGTCTAAGACTGTATCCTAAATGAAACTTATTCACCACAAAATCTATCAAAATTAGAAACCACGTCGCACAAGAACAGGGAGGAATCCAATCACTGTCTTGTCCCTCTTTAAGTATGGCCTGCAAAACCTTTTCTTAGATGTTTGTAGACAAATGTAACTGAGCCAAAAGTTTAGCAATTCACAAAGCTAATAACTACATCTGACACAGAGGAAACCACAAAATCAGAATCCATCTCCCTTTGTGTAGGACTTGGACGATAATTATGTTTTTTTTTTTGTTATCAAACAAACCTCGCCTGCGCCTCTTCACCTCTACTGGGTCCCTCTGGCACACGCTGTCTGCAACATCAACACTGTAACAGGAGAAACGTGGTTTGAGTTTGAAGATACAAACCATATAAAATGTCAACAACAATTTTTATGAGTTATGGACTTCTTCATGAATACCAAATAGGGTTAGGGTTAGCCCTAACCCACAACAAAGACTGAACACAGTAAAAGTCATAAAGACAGAGTCTGTTAAATTAGACTGCATTCCTATGGGCTAGTTGGTATTCGGGTTATCAAAGATTAAATACGGATGTAATGTGGGGAATAAAAAAATGCGACTTCACTAGAAAACAGAAATAATTATGTACATTTAAAAGAGAGAGAGAGAGAAAAAGAGAGAGAGAAAGAGAGACAACAATTTTTATGAGTTATGGACTTCTTCATGAAATACCAAATAGGGTTAGGGTTAGCCCTAACCCACAACAAAGACTGAACACAGTAAAAGTCATAAAGACAGAGTCTGTTAAATTAGACTGCATTCCTATGGGCTAGTTGGTATTCGGGTTATCAAAGATTAAATACGGATGTAATGTGGGGAATAAAAAAAATGCGACTTCACTAGAAAACAGAAATAATTATGTACATTTAAAAGAGAGAGAGAGAGAAAAAGAGAGAGAGAAAGATAAAAAGAGAGAAAGAGAGAGAAAAAGTGAGAGAGAAAGAGAAAAAGAGAGAAAGAGAGAGAGAGAAAGAGAGAGAGAAAGAGAGGGAGAGACAGAGAGAGAGAGACACACACACACAGAGAGACACAGTGAGGGGGAGACAGAGAGAGAGAGACAGAGAGAGAGAGACACAGAGAGACAGAGAGAGAGAGAGAGAGACACCACAGAGAGAGAGAGAGAGAGAGAGAGACAGTGAGGGGGAGACAGAGAGAGAGAGACAGAGAGAGAGAGAGAGAGAACACACACAGAGAGAACAGTGAGGGGAGACAGAGAGAGAGAGACAGAGAGGACAGAGAGAGAGACAGAGAGAGAGAGAGAGACACACACAGGAGAGAGAGAGACACAGAGAGAGAGAGAGAGAGGACAGACACAGAGAGAGACACAGTGAGAGAGAGAGACAGAGAGGGGGAGACAGAGAGAGAGAGAGACACACACACACAGAGAGACACAGTGAGGGGGAGACAGAGAGGAGAGACACAGCGAGACAGAGAGAGAGAGAGACACAGTGAGAGAGAGAGAGAGACAGTGAGGGGGAGACAGAGAGAGAGAGAGAGACACACACACACACACACACACACACACACACAGAGACACAGTGAGGGGGAGACAGAGAGAGAGAGAGAGAGACAGAGAGAGAGACACACAGAGAGAGAGAAAGAGAGAGGGATAATTAACGTTAATCTACCGTCAATTAACGTTAACTAACAAACACTGAACGTTGAGTTTTAGCTAATAACGAAAACTGCTTTAGCAAGAAAACAAAAACAAAAACATAAACAAAAACATAAACATAAACATAAACAACACCATTCCATTGATTAACTATGAGGCTAAAAACCGGGTTCCGTGAATTCAGCTGATACGACTTCAAACATCCAAAGTACATGTGGAACAGCGAACCTCTGGTAGTTCCGTTTGGCCGGTCTGCCGTGACTCTCCTGCGGCTCTGCTCCCGCTCTCACGGCAGGTAGCGTGGGTACTGCCTCGCCAACGTTACCTTTCCCGGGCCACTCGGAGGGGTTTTGGCCCGAAACGGACTCAAACAGCGACGAGATTCCGTCAACTATCCATCCATACATCCCAGACAAATACGAGTAAATGGTACCGGGGTGTTCTACGCGGTCCAGGGCTGTTTGACAAACCGATAAGATGTCGAACAAACGATCTACGACACAGACACAGCGCTCTGTTGACTTAGCTTACCGTTAGCAGCGCGGCGCTGGGATACGGAGGACGTCGTGCGTCATACCGCTTTGACGTTTGTACGTGCGTTGGTTTTTGTGTGTCCGCTAAAAAATGGGCGGCGGAGTTTCCACAATACAGAATGAATGTTTAACAAGGAGTTCCAGAACGATCCGAAGCGGCACCTCGAAGAGGATACAAACAAACGCAACTCTCACCGAGAGGTTAAAGAGCGACAGTCGCGAAACAGAAGCGTTTGCTGCTACGCGGCTCACATGTCAATTTTGTTACGTAATAATAGTCAATTGAATCTGTGCTTCTCAAGAAGACAAACACAGTAATAAAAAAAAAAATTAATTAAATAAAGACATGAATAAATAAAGATTATAATTATTAAATTGTATTATTAAACTGTAAATTTCCCCATTGTGGGATAAATAAAGGATTATCTTATCTTAATATTTACATTACTGTACATCAGGGAGTAAGTACTATACTTAATATGTATGTTATATTAACACTTTATTAAATATTTTATGGAAACCTGTATTGAAATGTTTAACATTCCCTCGTTTTTCCTCAATATCTTTCACAATCACAATATTATCTTCATATCTCCAACTTCTCCTGAGGAATCTATTTCCAACCAAGTAGCTTACACTCATCGGTGTAGTTAAGCTCGTTGAATTTTATTCATAGTGCTCATATAAATGGTTGGTTTCATCCATGATCAGTTACTGTACTCACAAAAACAGTATGTACTGTATATAGACCCAAATGCTAAGAAAAATGACCCATCAGTTTAATGGATGTCATTCAATTCTGTGTAAAGGCATTGAATATATTTAGAAATAAGAGAGTTAAGTTTAAAAAAAACAAAAAACGTTTTGCATCAGCTCTCAGATTTCAACTGTCTTAAATTTTATGTGGCGGTAAATAGTGACGTCAATAAAGGTTACTTAAAATCTTCCGACTTAACACTTTAACCTCATCATGCCTCACTCCATCCACTGTATATCTAGGCTTTAGATGGGATAAGAGTAATTATATAACTCACTAAAAGGGAAATGAGCAAACATCTAACTCATCAGGAGTCACTTTATGCTTGCAGAATATCGGTCACAACAGAGTGATTATCCCATTAAGGAAAAGTCTGTACTCAAAATAATAAATGGAAGAAAAAGTGAGTGAGAATGTGAACAGTGCATCATGTCCCCTTTGTGTTAGTGTTAAACAAACAGCAGACAACATTCAAATATGGTTTGTATCTTTTACTTGCATTGTGAAAAAGTGACAGATACTCTAAACAGTTAGATTATGAGCTGCCATGAAAGTTTAGTTTGTACATACACATTAAAAAAATCAAAAATATTTATCAACTTCATGGAAGAAACAGAAAATACAAAACATCAACAACATACAGTTCACCTTTATGCAATCACTAAATATATTTATCAATGAATTACAGTTAAAAACCAGTGCAAATTGAGACACGTGTGCAATGGACGTCTGTCGTATTTACATAGCACGAAAGGTTATAAAATATTCTTAGAAAAATATGCTAATTATTTATTATGAAAAAACATTTGTTCTTTGACATATAAAGGGTGTCCTTCAAAATACTTCAGTACAGAGAATAGAAAAGATACAGTAGTAAAATAATTTATGTACCTTTAAAAAAAAAAAAAAGAATCATGTCAGGAAATTCAACAAATGTGACGCATCTTTCTAAGAAATTTAAATTAACAACTCTAAAATTTCTACATGGATTTAAGGCATGGACAGTGTTGAACAATATGTAGATGGGAGACTTTCATCTCATCAGTCGTCCAACTACTTTGGGTCAGTCTGGAGAACCGATGAACCTGATGGGACACAAAAACAAAACGAAAAGGTGAATATTATCATCTTTTACATGATAGAAATAAATACTTTAGTTCAAATACAAAGCGACTGGTGATGGTCTTACATTCAGAAAGGTACTTAAGCATTTCTATAAGGGCATTTTCTTAAAAATCTAATCTGTCAGACATACAAGTCCTGAGATAAAAGAAAACGATAGATTTTTCATCAGACATTTGAATGCTGACATAATTCAGAATTTTCGGTTTATTTCTGCTGCTCCACTGAAATAAGCCTGACCACTGTTAATAATTTAACAGTAAAAGTGGTAGAGAAACGTCAACAAAACATCCTTTATCATCATCAGATAAATTATTGATGCCTGGAAGACAATACATTTTAAAAACACTTCTGCATTCAAACACACACACACACACAAACACACACACACACACACACACACACACACACAGTTTGCTTATATGTGTCATACCATCTACAAGTACTATAAACAATTTGATCAAAGCAATCGACAGACCTTTTATCCCAAACTACCTTCTCCTACCATGAACACAGATCCTGTTTTCTTTAGTTAATGTCTGTATATGAGCGTAATATGAATCCATTACAATGAATACAGTAAATTAGAATGAATAACTTAAATCAGACACTGAATGATTAAACCAATCAGAGTAATAAAGTGTGACATTATGAAATGACCGGCTTTAAACAAGTCTGCATGGCATGTACATTCCAGTCCAGAGTTTTGCCACCTCCACTTCAGTGCACCCTGTGACCCCGGCACCCATCCTAAGAATTGACTTGTGCGGCTTTATTGGTGGAGTGAGTCGATTACACTCACACTCACCTGGACCATTCAGGTAAAGGGGCGACAAGCAGCTCAGGTACAGCCACGTCCTATTCTCCTGCAGCCAGCGCTGCCGATAACCAATCATATGAGGGGAACAGGCTGACTGTATCCTCCTTTCCTCTTTAGGGGGTGGGGCTAAATGAATCTTGCTTACTATGTTGGGAGATGACAGAGCACACAGTTTTTTATGGGAGTAATAACACACTGTTTATCACTACAGGTGTCAACACAAGAAAGGTTTTTATTGATTTATTGTAATGAACTCTCTTCATATTTTTCTGTTTTGATTTCTCAGATACATGGAGAGCAAAGTTGGTGACGTGCAACTAATGCTGGGATCAGACTACACAACACATTTGTCATACCCACATGATGAATTCCATTAGTCTTCACTTTGCTATTCTCTCAAAGCTGCTCTCAGGGGGAAATGTCAGAACATTTGATGGAAGTTGACAGATTACGGCCATATCCGATTGATTTTGTTTGGTCTGATCTTGGCCCCCAGTGCCCTGTAACATCACCAAGTGGGACAAATCTCACTGTTTTTCTACTTTGGAGCTCCCAACACAAGAAGTTGGGCTTGATAAATTTACCCTTTTGTGGCTTCCTTCACTAGTGTATTACTTTTAATGTGACTGCACACTCAAGAGTCCCACATTCTAGAGCAAATCAAACATCAAATATTATTAACACAAATTTGTCTTTTGTAGTTTGCAAGTAAGCAAAGTGCAGTTATTTAACAATAACCCAGTTTTATTTTTAAAACCCAGTGTTTCAATCGTGCACCAAACTGTTGGCAGTTGAGGGGGAAAAAAGCTCCACCTTTGTGAATTCAACGCTTTATTTATTAATGCTGCTCACCTGGCTTTGCTCCAACCAACCGTTCCTGGACTTTCTCTAGATGTTGGATAAACGTTCCTCCTGAAAGCCCCGAGGCCAGACTGGTGCTGGAGTACGACCTAAGGTGAGAACAATTATTTAGATTGTATGGTGGAACATTTCAGTGCCGACTTGTCTACTTGAATAATTTGTGAAGATGGGCTCTGACCTGTTGTGTAACCTGAAGGGGGATTTGGTGGGTGGGACGAGGGAAGACATCATGTCTCTGTGGACGGCACTGCTGTCTCTGTCTGGTGGCGAGTCAGAAATCAGTCTGTGGTGCTGCTGCCTTAAAACTTCAGCTTTAGGCCCTGTAAGAGACGCTGAGATTTTAAATACGCCCAATCAAACTGTAGACAAACAGTCAAGTGATGCATGTTACTGTAATATGTGTTAACTGAGCTGACCTGAGGCATGCCCATTACAAATCCCAGATGTAGATAATCTTCTGATCGCTTTGTTCCACTTCTTGGTCAGGAACCTCATCCTGAAAATGAAAGTGTTTGTTTATTCTTTCACACTCTCATAACGCCAAGAAACTTTAATCTTTAAATCTTGGCACACCTTACCTCGAGACAGCTATGACCACTCGTACAGCAGCTCTGAAACGTCCGAGGGGTCTCCGCTGGGAGGAGAGGGGGGGTGACGGCCGTGCTCCCATGTGGGCGATTAGACACAGTGTGGCCTGCTCACACTCCTGGAAACCTCCCAACAGCAGCAGCAGGTAACGCTTCTGGTACACCAGAGCTTTCCTGAAGCTCTCGGCGCGCAGGTAACGCTCATACAAACGCTGCACCTGCAGACCAATAGAAATTGAGTTTTTTTGTATCAGTAGTGATTTAAGTCGGCCCCTGGGAAATTGAATGGGTCCAATTTCTTTTTTTTTGTTGAGAAATTGTAGTCAAAAAAATTGGTATATTATATGGTTATAGGTAACAGATATATTCACGTTATGTTCAGGCAATAAAATAGTTCAATTCCAATTCTCAAAAGTTGAATAGAAAAACAGCAGGAGCAGAAAACACAGCTGCAATAGTTTGTTGTCCAGCATTATGTTTTATCTTTGACTTCTGTGGCATTTTGAAAACTTCTACTTTCACTGCGTACTTGGAAAATACTCTTCTTTTTTTACACTATGTTTTTGTTTATGTCATTTCAGCAAGTCGCCTGTACAGCATGAGTGGTGACAATGTGAGTTTAATAATCACTATGAAGTTTGTATCCTTCCTTCATTGATTAAATTAAGTCTGTGGTGACTGGCTAGTTTTAATAGCATCTAAACCAGCACCCAGGATCTCGTCTGCACTGATACGTTACGCAGAGGGTCGACACAGCGGTGCTCTGATGGGACAGTTTCTTTTGCTGATGTCTTAAAACAGTTAAAGCAAACTTAACGTTATAACCTGTCTGAATGTACTTCAGTAGAACTTTTGAAAAACAACTTAAACTTGAATGACAATCT